CATTAAATTCCAGTGAAATATATTTATGTTTGTGGTTGTAATGTGACAAAATATGGAAAAGTTCAAGGGGTATGAATACTTTTGCAAACCACTGTATATTGTGATACTGCAAGGCTGAAAGAAAATAGGAAAATTATGTGTTTGTTCACCTTAATATGTGCTTGTCACCAGATCGAAATACACCAATATTTGAATGTTTGAATGTAAAAAAAGAGTTCATAYAAYACTAGCTGCTGGGACTGAATCACTGGATTTATTACCTTCTCTGTGCATTCAGCAAAGGATTCAGGGAACATTGAGACTCTTATAACCTCCTTCAGGACCTGACTCCGCCTATTTTCATTGCATCATCAAAAATGGCCAGCCTACGGCTGAAATCAGGTCCTGGTACAATTTTTCCTTTTCTAATGTTAAAACAACGGTTCAAGTGTTGAAAGTGTTTTCAGGCATGTATCTTTACCTATATGTACCTTCGGTTCTGTGTAACCATCTTTGATAGCCACGCAGACCAGGCTGTACATAAAATCATCAATGTAATCACAGAATAAAGATATCATTATTCACCTAAGAAAAGACTACAGAATGTGTGGTGCTTTTAAAAAATCAGTAGTAAACAAACCCCAATAAATTTCTTCAAGGCAATATATTAGTTTTTTGTCCAAAAATTCTATTAAAAACTGTTTTATATGAGTTTTATTTGTTTAATATGTCTTATTTCATCTGTGTTTTAACTTGTTAGACTAAATGTATCATTAAATAGTTTGATAATATTTTTGTGGCAGATTTTAGATTTTAATATTAATTTATTATAAAATATGGTCACCCAACACAAAGAAAAGCACATATCTTGTCTTAAAGTTTAGTAAATGGATGACATGAAGCTGCTACAGTCTGTCGGCGGTCACGGTGCACTTTAAGGGGGCAGCGAGTACACCAGTCATTTCAATGCCCTGTTTCTCATTTGGTCGTTGCATCTGGCCACTTCAGTACCGTGCCTCAGTGAATCCCTGAGCTCGAGGGTCTAGACCAGAGGTGCACAAAGTGGGGCCCGCGGGCCAAATTTGGCCCGCCAAGCCATTTGATTTAGCCCACCAGCAGTTATCCTGGTTACTAGGTTGTAATTGTCTGTATTATGTAGAAATATTATATTTGCACTTAGTCTTTTCAAATAATGGTCCAACTATATGTACAGGGAGCTGTAGTCAGATAGTCTTAACTTATGGTGCTCACTTTATCTTTGAGTTTTGTTAAGATTAAACTTAAAATATAAGTAACTTCAAGAGATATTTATGAGATTTAAGTCCATATCTAGATTTGCACACCTTATAAAACCACATATACTCACATTTTAAATTATGAAAAGTCCCATGAGCCTTTTCTGCCCGAGCATACGTTGAATTTTCTCCATGTCCATGGCCTGAAACAAACAAACAAACAAATGTGGATAACCACACTGGCTGCTAGCTTCATCATAAAAAATACAACTTTACTTGAAATATTTGCATTTCGTGTTTTATATTATTGCATTTGGCCCACCACCCTCAGATTGATTTTAATTTTGGCCCTTTCAGGGAAAATGTTTGGGCACCCCTGGTCTAGACAAATGCCTGCTGTMACATGACGGCTGACTACAGTCAGGAGAAAGAGCGTCCTGAACGGGACACTTCAATTTGGCTTAAAATACGGACATTCCAGCTAATAAGGAACTGTTGGTAACCTTACCTCAGCTTAGAAAACAGTGGGTGTCGCTCTAATCTGCTCAGATTCAGCCTTCTATGCATGTTGCTAATATTTACTCACAATGCTAACGTCTGAGCTAGCATTATACTCTCTGGCTCCTCAGGAGGGGAGGAGCCAAATCTCTGGCTCACTGCTGCCAACTAGAGGTCGGAGGCTAAACTGCAACATAAAAATGAACTGTTTGTATGATTGACATTTTAAACCTTAATTAAAAATCGATACGGGGCTTTAGAGAATCAATGCAGTATCARAAAATATAGCAATATTTCAATTGATCAAGATTTTCTTACACCCCTAGAAAATGTGCATCCATCTGAAACAAGAAGGCCACATTTACTTCACAAAAATGATTAAATTATAAAAATCTCATCTCATCTCGTTCTGATAGAACCAGGATACGTTGTTCCCAGAAATTCCTGCTGCAGGGCCAGCTTGTTTATGTAAAGAGAAGAAAATAAATTAATAAATGCTATTTTAGTTTATATAAGCCCAACTTACAAAGGGATTCAAATATTTACCAGGAACAGGAACAGCCCATGTAATGAAAATAAAATCTGTAGTAATGTGTGTAAATATTTAAAACTCTGGATGTCCTCTCAGCATTAGTCCTCTGTGGGCCCGGTTTAGTCCATTATCAATACTTCCCTGCTGCTGTGTGACAGTGATAAATTCCTGTAAACTCTTTCTAATCAGGCTGCACATCTGAATCTTTTTGAATTGCAGATCGAGTAGTCGCGAGAGAGCAAGTCGATTTTCCTGTAGTGCTTAAAACCCAACCACAAGCACAAGCTGCACCGTTTTTATTTCTCTTTGTGAAAGGATTGCACCCACAAGGTAAAATTTCCATTACCGTTGCTGGCTGCGTGTGTCTGCCGCGCCGTTTCATGTGGTGGAGAAATAAGACAAAGGCAGTGGAGAGTCAGAAGCTGTGGGGTGACATTTAGTGCTCAGTATCTTCAAAGAGCAGCCCCTCGTTTGTACCATTTCTTTTTGTGCATAATTAATGAAGTCTTCCGTTCAGACTTTTTTTTAAGGCTGGATTAGAAAAGTAGATTAAGGAAGTCAACTTTAAATTTCAATTTGCATTCTGAGGACTCTGGATTGCAGTTGTGTACGCGGTCGACTTTGTTGTTGGTGTAAAGAATTGTTCAGGTGGGAAGCCTGAATAATGCGCAGAAAACTGATAAGTTCTCCGATGAATTTATATTTTCAGATCTAAAGACTCCATGTCACGTGACGTCATCAAAGCCCTGTCTCAATTCAGTGTTTGCAGCCGACGTAGAGCGTATTTGTGAGCTGCTTAGGTCCCTGCTCCACACCGTAGGCTGTCCCAATTCGTAGGTACCTACTCACGTGGTCGACAAAACCCTGAAAACCTTGTCTGCATCGGAGTATTCTATGTGGCCGATGATATCCCAGAGTTCATTGTGCCGTCAGCAAACTAAACAGAAAAACAAAGACAGCTGAGTTTTATTCAGCTGATGAAAAATTTTACTTGAAAAAGAGAGTCAAATCAAGTATTTCAAGAATCTTACCAAGTAAAATGTTCTTACTCCACTGGCAGAAATGTTTGACTTAATTAGAGTCAAATTTTCAGACTAACAAGACAAATATTCTGAAAACAAGATGATTATTCTTACACAATCAGTTCTTGTTTAGTAAATCAGTCTCAAAACAAGATCAAAAATACTTTTTGGGTGATATAAGATTTTAAAACTTGGTAAGATGGACAGTTTTTGCAGTGTTAAAATCCTTTTTAACTGAACATTTTAGCCACATTTAAAGGAAAACCAACATATAACTTATTCTTATGTTTTACCTCCTAAATAATAAAATTTATTTCATGTTACGGTGGAGTTTAAACCCTAACCTTTATTATTTTCCTTATTTGTTGTGCTGTGAAGTAAGTGTTCTCACTTGGCATGTTAAATCCATTAAAGTGCTCATCTGAACACGTCACATTGATTGAGTTCTTAGAATAGCTTCCAGACAGCAGCTTCTGGCCATAAAGTCAAGAATAAAAGAAGCAAACAAAGGTCAGGGGGCTAACTCCTGGCTGGTTTAGGTGCGTGGAGGTGTTTGATGTCAGGCATGTTTCAGTCCAAACACTTTGTTTAATTCTACTTGTCAACACGCAGGTGAGAAAATCACTTTGACGGTAATAAGATAGAGGAAAGTGTTGCATTAGCACCTTGAAGTGTAAATAGCTTCTCATATTGCCTATTAGACCCAGATAACCTGGCGAGGTGGAGGTTGATGGTGTTGGTGGGCGAGTGGGAGGGGGTAATTCACAGAAAAGCATATTAGCTGTGTCAAAACAGTCGGGGAAAAAAACACACACCAACTCCAAGGAATATAATTAGGACTGCTTTTTTCGATTTCTTTTTTCTGTCTGCGTTTTAATCTGCTATTGATGAAAGACGGGTTATTTGTTTCTTCAGCTGCTCTCGCCTGCAATATCCTGTCGCCCTGGCTCCCAGCGAAAAAGAAATATCTCCCATCCCTCCTCCCCGCTCCTGCTCTCCCTCCTCCCTCTGGGTTTTGCATTATAAAGAGATTTCATCTCATCCACCTTTAGCCAGGATTTGCCTTTGATATTATTTATTAGCTCCGGTATTGAACAGTTGGCGGAGCTAGCACCTTGAATGGGCCTCCTCGACGTCCTCAACCCACAATCAATACGGCTCCACATTACATATACATCAGCTCCGAGTGCAGTATCACTCACTCTCAACCTGCGGTCTAATTAAAAAGATAAGCAGCTTCGTTTGAAGCCAGCTTTAATAGGCCGCTGCCTTGTTTCTGGGCGTGAATGTTGAATAGAATCATGACTCTGCTTGAGATTCTGCTCATTTTTTTATAGATCGCTCCGACTCGATGAAAGCTTTGACACGTTACTTGTTGCCAGGCCAGGGTCATGTGGAGCCAGATTGGACGGATCATAATGCTTTGGTTTTGGATGTAATCTTAAATTAGTGTTGTGATGTTGAGATTAAAGAAAACACACGTTTATGTCTGGTTTAGCTGCAGTGTAACCATTAAACGGTTTAGGACTTCTTTTTTAGGCTTTAAGTGATGCTGTTTCATTCTGCTTCTAAAAAAGTTAATAATTTAATCTAAAAGTAATATATTATCTGCAGGAACCTAAAAACCCAAGTGTGGAGGGAGTATAAAAACCAAGGCTGAGCACGTCAACGCAGCCGGTAATTTCTTGAACGCGGTTATTTGTTTCTTTATATTTCTCTGATCTGTGTTCACTGTGCAGCCAACACACACACAAACCCAGTGGTCACAGTTGGGAGGCGGGATCTTGGTCACTATTGGCTTCAGATGGCCTTCGTTGTGCGTCTCATCCAATGAGAGCTTTTGTTGTCGAGCCGTTGCGTGGAAACTCACAGCTGCTCTCATGAACCGGGGCAGAAACATGGCGGATGTCACCAGATTCTTCAGGGCTTTTTTTAAATTTTAGAACTTTTCCAGATGGACTGGGAAGAAGTAAAGTTCTCTGTAAGCTCTGAAGTGTTGGAGCCTGAAATATCGCTTCAGTTTAAAACCAGCGTAAACAAACAGGTTCTGCTGACGAGGCTGGGCCTGTCAGAGGAAAAAAAAAAACAACAACCTTAAACAAACTTCATTTGCTTCACTTGGTTAGTTTTTACAAATGCATTGCCCTCTTTCTTAATATAAAACAGTACTTAAAATGCTCTAAACATCTTTGAGTGAGGTAAGTCTTGTACACAATAATGAGATATTTAAAGAAATCAAGCGATTTTTTTTGTCATTCCAAAATGAGTACTTGAGAATTGAAAGACGGATACTGAGGTCCCAGTTGTCAGCAATAAGTGTGTGTGTGTGTGTGTGTGTGTGTGTGTGTGTGTATTAATGCATTAATGCTGGCCATAGATTAAAATTTTTAATCGATTCATCAAGATACTTTTGCGATTATCAAAATTTTTTTTTAGAAATGATCACTCTATGGCTGAATGTGTAGGTTTGTATGTTACAGTACAGTCCATGTGTGACACATTATGTACAGTTTTTTTCTTTTGTTTTTCTTTTTGCTGCCTTAAGACTTATTTTATTTATTGCTGACAGCTGTGACCTCATTTGGAATGAAAGAACAAAATATCCTTTTTTGATTTAACCTCATTTTTCTGGACAAAATTAACTGACTCAAAGAYGCAGAGCAGTTTTTAGCTACTGGTTTATTTAAAAAAGCAGGAAATGCATTTTCAAAAACTTTAAACAAATAAGGCAAAGCAAGCCGGTCGTATTTTTTGAAATTTTTTCTCCCACACGCTGACCAGTGTCGTCCGGTTTTAAACTGAAGCGATATTTCAGGCTCGAACACTTCAGTGGTGAGACGGTTTAGCATTGCAGCGCTTAAGGAGAACTTTACTTCTTTCAAGCCCGCCTTCGGGAAAAGTTTGAAAATAAAAAAATGCCCTGAAGAATCTGGTGACTTCCATGTTTCTGCCCTGGCTGCAGCTCGACCAGAGCGGCTGTGAGTTGTTGCAGCGGGTCAACATCAAAGGCTCTTACTGGTTGAGTCGCACGACGAAGGCCATCTGAGAACACAAGAAAAACGCAAGACACAGATGGTGTATTGCAAYATACAACCGTACACATTCAGCCATAGTAAAGTCATTTCTAAATTAATCACAATATCTTGCGATT